GTCGAGTAGCTTCCTCAATGTACACTTTAAGCCCTTATATTATATTTCTGAAATTTGGGATGTTACAACGGATCTGATTGATACACAAGCAGATCAGGGACTTACATTATTTCTTTAAATTAGTGTTAAATGTTGACTGCTAATTGCTTATTCATGTTGTTTCAGACCTTAAACTTATCAATGGTTTATCAGAACGCATGGCTCAGGTATGAATATTTAGACAAATGTACAATTACAAAATTACCCCCAAATTTAAGCACCTTAACTGACTTTAATTCTTATTTTTTATATTTTCATTTTTTTATTATAGCCTGCCACTTTCATTATTTTTTCTGAGAAAAACATTGAAAGTATAACTGTATAAGGTTATAATAGAAATAAATGTACATTGTTAATTCATACATTTAACCGAAATGCACTTTTTGTTTGATTCGAAAAAAACTAAAAATAATGATAATATTTTATTTTGTATAAAAACGATTCACTTCGGTTAAACTGCAACTTGAACCAAAAATGGTAATTTTGGTTTGATTTGGGTGTGGTGTTTGGATGAGTGGATAAATCAGAAAATACACACGTATATACATTATTTTCTAAAATTCTCTACCATGTTACCCTATGTACAGTTATTTTGGTTAACAATGACTTTTTTTAAATTTTCTTTACCAAATATCTATTACATACAGTTTTTTTTTTTTTGGTTAAAACTGAATTAGTTTAAATTTTTTTTTACCAAATTGCATTTTATTTGGTTAACTATGATTGATATTAATTGTTTTTGACCAAAATCCCCATATTAAAACTTTTTAATTTTAATGACTGCTATTAACCTTTTTTGATATTAATGCAAATGCATATTTATTTTGGTTAAAAATTGAGAAATTTAGACAGTTTCTGACAAAAATTCCCCTGCATATACTTTTTAATTATGCCGACTGTGAACAAATAGTTCTTACAAAAAGTTACATAATATCGGTGACCATAATGCATTTTTTTTGGTTAAAATATATATAAAAAACATTATTTGACATAAATACAGTGTTTACCATAATGCCCCTAGATTTAGTTTTTAATTATGCCCCTACATACACTTTCACCGTAATGTAGTTTATTATGTTAAAATTTAGAAAAATTATAAGTTTTTGACAAAATTGCCACAACCCAGTGTTTGACAATAATGCTGTTAATAATTTTAACAAGTATGACCCAAATGTCCCTACAAACATAAATAATTGGTAAAAATTTAGTGATTGTAACAGTATTTTACCATAATGACCATAAATACCGATTTTTTTGTAAAAAAATTGTAATTTAGACAGTTAACAATTTGCCCCTACATAAAATTTTATAATACCCATGATCAAATTGCCACTACAAACATTATTTTAAAATATGCCTCTACATACATTTTGACCATAATGTAGTTTACATTGTTAAATTTTTAGAGAAAATAAATTTTTTTGACAAAATGCACAGACAGACATTTTTTGGAATAAAACTGAGTAATTTATACAGTTTTAGACCAAAATGCCCCTACATATAGTTTTTAATTATGCCCCCTATATACACCCCTACATATAGTTTTTAATTATGCCCCCTACATACACTTTGACTATAATGCATTTTTTTGTGTTAAAATTTAGAGGAGTTAATTAAAAGTATTATCACTAGAATTTGATAATACTGTAAATAGTGAAAGATGTTGAAGTTTTTTTTAACCATCTTGTGCTACAGATTCATCAACACGAAGTCAAAATTCAACTGGCCGGCTTCTATAAAGGTGTGTAATTTTCGTTTGAATTAGCTTTCATACCATACTATCTTCCCGTTACCAAATGGATTTTCTTTTTCATATTTATCGACTAAGAATATAGTTTCCATCTTTAAACAATTTATTTATTTTAATAAGCATTCTTTAACTCAATATCACCTCCTTTTATGACTATTTACGAATAAGTAAAAAACAGTTTGCAATTTTGTCTTTTTGCTTAAAATTGTGAACCTTCAAATTGAATAAAATAATTATAAATTCAAGACTTGATGTAATGTTGGTGTCATATGCAGTTATGGTTCTACAAATAGGAAGACAAGATTGACGTGCCACTTTATACAACTATTGATTAATGGCTCTAAATTGCACACCATTTTTTGGAGTTTGTTTAGGATTACGTTTCTTTTTGCCTAAGTTATCTTTATTCAATTTTTCTACTTTATCTAGTTTTCTTAGTTTATCTTATTTTCCAATCTATATATAGGCCTTTGTAATCTCACGTTCAAAATAATGAAAAGAAATATTCAGTATCAATTTATTATGGTATCAGAGCAGAGATCTCTGATAAACTGAAGATTCGCATAATATGACGGAAGGAGAAACCCATGCGTCGTCATCATCGACTGACAAACCCATCGACATATCATCCCCATACTTTCTCTCATCGACTGATCATCCATGCTTAAACTTCGTTGGTGATAACCTGTTAAGCGATGGGAACTACAACGATTGGGTGAATGAGATGACGAATGCTCTTCACGCCAAAAACAAGTTCGTGTTCGTTAATGGTTCACTTGTCAAACCAGAAGATGGATCAAAAGATGTCATGAATTGGACGAGGTGTAATGCTATGGTTCGAGGGTGGCTTGTTAGTTCCATGGAAAAAGAAATCAAGAACAGTGTGAAATTTGCTATTACTGCTCAAGAGATATGGGAAGATTTGAAAGAAAGATTTGGGAAGGAGAATGCTCCAAAAGCATACGAACTCAGAAGATCCGCTACTATGATTCAACAAGGAAACATGAAGGTGTCCGCTTATTACACAAAACTCAGAGGAATATGGGATGAGATACTATCGATCAATCCAACACCAACTTGTTTGTGTCAAGGATGTTCCTGCGATATCACAAAAGAAATTAATGCGATGCGTGAGAAGGAAAGGCTATACGATTTCTTGATGGGGCTAAGTGAGGAATATAGTGTGCTAAGAACTCAAATACTAAGCACTGATCCTCTACCCACCTTAGGAGTTGCATTCCACCTTATCAGTCAAGATGAACAGCAAAAGCAAATTGGAAGCTCACGTGTAATTACTAATGACTCTGCTGCGTTTCAAACATCAAATAATTACTCCAAGAATCAAAATAAAGGAAACACAAATCAAACAGCAAATAAGAAAAGGAATGATGATCGTTGGTGTACCCATTGTCAAAAGGCGGGACACAACATGGAAGGATGCTTCGAACTGATTGGATACCCGGAATGGTGGACACCAAGAACACCAATCACAAAGACTTTCGCTGGAAAAGCAAAGGTGCAACCACGTGCAGCAACCACTACTACTGTAGATCCACAAGTTCAAGGCCTTGGTCTTACAAAAGGTGAATATGAGAAGCTGATAAAGATGATCTATGACACTAAAACAACTCCCACTGTAAACATGACAGGTAAAACTAAAACTCATGATGAATGGATTATTGATTATGGTGCTAGTGAACATGTTACTCACAACAAGGCATTATTCAAAACAATGAAAGAAGATCTAAACAACACATCTGTTACAATACCCAATGGGGATACAATCAACATCGAAGGAGTTGGTAACATACATATACCAAATGGTTTTGGTTTGAAAAGTGTGTTAAATGTGCCCGGATTCAAGTGCAATTTACTATCTGTTAGTAAACTCGTAAATGACTTACAATGTTCACTAACTTTTTTGCCTAAAACCTGTTTCATACAGGACTTACGTACGAGGAACCTGATTGGGACGGGTAAGGAAAGAGATGGGCTGTATTATCTCCAACCACTCAAAAGACAAAGGGTGGTGATGATGGTATTAACGAAGCATGAGATCTGGCACAGAAGGTTGGGTCACGCGTCAGAGGGAGTTCTCAAGAAAATACAACAATTAGGAAAATTAGGTACACCAAACAAATTTTGTGATTCATGTATTAGGGCAAAACAAAGTAGATTACCTTTTCCTACTAGTTTTTCAAAAACAAGTAAAAGTTTTGAGTTAATTCATGTTGATATTTGGGGCCGTTACAAGCATGCTTCACTTGATGGTTCTCATTATTTCCTTTCTATCGTTGATGATTATAGTCGTGGAGTATGGGTATATCTTATGAAAAACAAATCAGAAGCCTCACAATATTTGATAACATTTTATAGAATGATTGAAACTCAATTTGAAAACCAAATCAAACGTATAAGAACAGATAATGGATCCGAGTTTCAATCTCGACACATGATTGAGTTTTATAAAGAAAAGGGAATCATGTTTGAAACTTCATGTGCTTATACACCATAGCAAAATGGTGTGGTGGAAAGAAAACACAGGCACTTGTTAGAAATGGCTAGAGCCTTACGATTCCAAGCATCACTACCCATTAAATTTTGGGGAGAATGCGTAATGACAAAAACATATATTATAAACAAACTGCCAACTCCAGTTCTTGAAAACAAGACTCCACATGAGATTTTACTTAAAAGGATACCATCCTATGATCATTTTAAGGTTTTTGGTATCTTGCCTATGCTCACGATAACATGAAAGCAGGTGATAAGTTTGATGAACGAGGACGACCATGTGTTTTTATTGGTTATCCAATGGGGCAAAAGGGTTACAGGTTATATGATCTTAAAAACCAAAGGATTTATACCACCCGAGATGTGACTTTTGTGGAGACAAAATTTCCGTTTGGAGAAGATTATGAAGGTCACAAAACAATTAATAATGAGTATTTGGTTGATGCTATGGAAGAAATACCAAATTTTGATGACGAGTACCAACGGAGAGATGTTATTGAAAGCAACACAAATGAAGAGACAAATGAAAATTGGGATTACAATACAGAAGTCAATGATGAGACACAACGACCAGGCAGCAATAATTCAGAAACCACAGTAAATGATGAAGAACCCGATAATAATTCTCCAAAATCACCAGTAACTAATGATAGGTCCGATAATCAGGGTCAATCACTTCGACATGGTACCCGAATTAGATTTCAGCACAAGCATTTGAAAGAATATGTCACAGACTTACCACCATCTCTTCAAGATTCCTTACCCGCTCCCGAATCAAGTTCTCGTACGGTATATCCTCTCTCTCTCAATATGTTTCATATAATAAGTTTTCTAATGATCATCGAGCTTTCTTGGCAGCCATCACTTCACTTGATGAGCCTAAGAGTTTTGCACAGGCTAGTAAAGATCCAAAATGGCAGGAAGCTATGATGAAAGAAATAAAAGCCTTGGAAGAGAACAAGACGTGGACTATTACCAAACTGCCCCTAGGAAAGAAAGCTATAGAATCTAAATGGGTTTATAAGATAAAGTACAAACCAAATGGAGAAGTGGAGCGATATAAAGCGCAGCTGGTTGCGAAAGGATATACGCAAATAAAAGGTGTCGATTTTCACGAAACATTTGCTCATGTTGCAAAGTTGGTGACAGTAAGGTGTGCTTTGGCCGTTGCTGCGAAGAAAGGGTGGGAAGTGCACCAACTTGATGTAAATAATGTGTTTTTGCATGGTGATCTTGAAGAAGAAGTGTACATGAAGATACCTCAAGGATTCAAGAATGTAGAAGAAACTCGTGTATGCAAATTAGAGAAGTCAATTTATGGACTAAAGCAAGCTTCGAGAAACTGGTATCAAAAATTTACTAAAGCACTTACCGGTTATGGTTTCTTACAATACAAGGCTGACCATTCGATGTTTGTTTACAAAGAAAATGATACACACATAATTTCTTTGATATATGTTGATGATGTCTTGTTAATAGGAAATAAGGTTGACAAGATTAAAGAAGTTAAGAACCGGTTGCAGATACAGTTCAGTATTAAAGATCTTGGGTCTCTCAAATACTTCCTAGGGATTGAGGTTGCACGATCCTCAGAAGGTTTTGTTATAAGTCAAAGAAAGTACACACTTGATATACTTGAAGATTGTGGTGTTCAAGCGTGCAGACTAAGTGATTTTCCTATGGAACAACATTTGAAGCTCACTAAAAACGATGACAGTCCTGAGGTTGACGCTTCACAATATCGAAGGTTAGTTGGGAGACTATTGTATCTTACTGTGACGAGACCAGACATATCTTTTAGTGTAAATCAGCTTAGTCAATTTTTAAGCAATCCTCGACAGTCTCATATGAATGCTGCCATGAGAGTTTTGCGTTACTTGAAGTCTACTCCTGGACAATGTTTATTGTTACCTTCGTCTGGAAGTTTGACTCTTGAAGCCTATTGTGAAGCCAGTTGGATGAGTTGTCCCACTACTAGGCGTTCATGTACAGGTTACTACATCAGTCTCGGAGGTGCTCCAGTTTCATGGAGAACAAAGAAGCAAAGTGTGGTGTCTCGTTCTTCTGCTGAAGTGGAATATAGAGCCATGGCTACTACCGTCTGTGAAGTTTTATGGTTGAGATGGTTACTTCTTAACTTGGATGCAGTTCAAAGTGAAGCTACTCCTCTTATGTGTGATAATGAAGCAGCAAGACACATAGTTGCTAACCCCGTTTATCATGAAAGGACTAAGCATGTTGAGATGGATTGCTATTTCGTCCGTGAACGGGTCAATAGTGGAGAAATAAAGACTTATGTTATTAGTTCAGAGTTACAACCAGCAGATATTTTTACAAAGGCCCTTGGTGCAAAACGTTTTCAAAGTTTACGTAGCAAGTTGGGTGTTCGAAATCTTCACAGTCCAACTTGAGAGGGAGTGTTGGAGTTTGTTTAGGATTATGTTTCTTTTTGCCTAAGTTATCTTTATTTAAATTTTCTAGTTTATCTAGTTTTCTTAGTTTATCTTATTTTCCAATCTGTATATAGGCCTTTGTAATCTCACGTTCAAAATAATGAAAGAAATATTCAGTAGGCCTTTGTAATCTCACGTTCAAAATAATGAAAAGAAATATTCAGTATCAATTTATTACCATTAACCACAATGAAGAATTAAGATGTATTGAATTTGGAAAAGTTGATTTTTTTTATCCAAAATGTTCGATTAATGATTTTATATTTTTGATAGTGCTCTACTCTATTTGTTTATTTGTTCGTGAACTTTTTAATGAATGACTTTTCATCCATTCTACGTTACAATCTCTATATTCACTCCAAATTATCCACATATATAAACAACACTTACTCCATGTATAAATACAGATAAAATACCAAACAAACAAAAAACTTACATACATAACCACATACAACGACACATGTTAACTACAATTTTTGTGTTCAACCTTCTTTCCCCTACGATTTTTATTCACATCGACCACAATAACAAGAAAATATAACACAACAAACATAACCCCCGACAAACCAAATTGTCAAATCATACCACAAATGACCAAAACAATCGATCAATAATCTCATATTTTCTATACTGTTCACAAATCCATATCCCACAAAGCATAACCGATAAACAAAAGTATAAGACTGTGGTCTTAACCGTTATTTCCTTTAGCTTCCTTACTGCAATACCTGTTGCTATCGATAAAACCATACCTAATTAATTACATTTACGTACATGTTGATGTATATACATATTAATATTACAAAATATAATATTCCTTAAAAATAACATTTGGCACCGCATAGTAACAAACATAACACTTCCTTTTTTACAAAATTCATACGACAACCAACAACACGCTACCTCTTGCTACACAAAATACATAAACAATGAAGAAAAGACCAAACCTATGATGAAAACCAAACCCCGCGTAGCGGGGTTACCCACCTAGTTTTTGATAAAAACTATTTGAGAT